AAAAAATTAAAAAAAAAAAAAAATTAAAAAAATAAAACAAACTAAAAAACTATATATCCTAACATTTTTAGACCGTTAGGACCTGAGAGTGGGGTCCAAAAAGAGAGTCACTAATAATCATATTGTTTGTTGGGATTAGCAATAGGTTAGTAGTTTTCATTGTTTTAAATAGCTCACTATGTAGCTCGCTATATATTTTTTTTGGAAAAATGCGACGTAGCCTTATCTATTTAGTGTTTTTATCGAAAAGCTTACGCAAAATGTTGAAACGACACGATTTTTTATGCTATTTTGCGTTATTTCACGATATTGTGCGCTACATTGCGCTATATTTTTTCAACGACATTTGAACAATAAAATATTCAAAAACTCGTATTTTTTAGGGATGAGAGTCATATTTATAAATGACAATTAAAAACTAAAAATGTTGATAATGATTTCAAATTAAAAGTTTGAAAATGCGAAGTCCTAAGTTGAATAGTGCAATATTTTTTGGTGTACTTTTGTTAATATCATTTGTTTCGATATTTGATATTTAAATAACAAATAAAAAGTTCATAAACCGATAAAAAAATAATAAAAAGTTCATATCTAATGGTTAGAATTAAGTTGTAGTTAAATAAAATATAATAATTAAAATGCATATACTTAAAGTTATAATATGACTTACCTCATTATATTTTCGTTGTTTATTTTTATTTTTTAGTATATTTGATTATTATTAAATATTTATATTATGATGATATTTGCATTAAACATTTCTGAGAATTAATCCTTAGATGTTATTTTTGAAGTCATTCAAATACTATGATAATTTTGTAATCAACCATCCATTTTTATTATATGCAAATATTCTTATAATATTTCTATATAAAAAGAAAATTATACTCAAATAGCTTACGCAACACGCAACGCTATTTACGATACACAGTTTAAAGACCAAAACGCGATGCATTACGCTATACGCGTTTTAAAACACTGATATTTTTTTCAGTGTCAGTTGTGTTATCTTCTGGCCTGTTTTTAGTGGCTTTTTTATGTTTTCATGTTTGTATAATCCGCGGTTGGTTGTAGTTCAGTTGTTTCAGGTTTAGTTAGGTGGCTGTTTTGGTCGTTCAGGGAAGCATCAATGTTTGATGTTCGCCCCGATTGTCCCTTTTGTATAACCCGTTGGTTATCCGAATTGTGTACTTCCCGAGTTTTGTTCTAATATATTTGATGTTTGAAAAAAAAAAAAAAGGTCTTCTATCTACTAGGCTATCTAACAAGAAAAAAGCTCCTTCCCCCGCCATGTACTCACTCCCTCGCCTACTCCCTGATATTTAGGCCGTAACAGTTCAAAAGATGTGTTAATTTTAAGCATATAATTAATAAAGCAAAAATAAAGATATATAAATATTTTAAAAAATTCATGAGTTAACTACCAATAGTCTCAGAACAAATAGAAAAAGATACAATTATTTCTTTCGAAGACTATTTTAACTTCTAAAAGATTTTAGCATAAATAAGACAAAATAAATAATTACAAAATGATATTTTACAAATAGTATTTTTAATACAAAATGTTTGCATTCAGATACAAAATTTTAGCAAAACAAAGTGGTATCAGAGCAAGGCAACGAGTAAAAAATAAGAAAATAAAATGAGTACAAAAAAAGTATATCTTGATATAGAATGAGTAAAAAATAAGAAAATAAAATGAGTAAAAAAAAAGGTATTTCTTGATATAGAATGGGAAATAAAAAAAATACAAAAATAGATATAATAATGTATAGCATATCTATTAATATATAATAAGGATTAACTTAATTCACTTTTAGTAATATTTTCCCGCCAAATTCATTAATTATTGTCTAAAATTAGTAACTTAACAAACTTTCATTAATTACATATTGTAATATGGAATAGATATTTTTTCCAATTAGAATCTCTATAAATATGGAATAGATTATATGTCCAATTAGAATCTCTATAAATATAAACTTAACAAACTTTCTATTATATATAATAGATGTTTTTTTCTGATTAGAATCTCTGCAATATGGAATTTAGAATCTCTTGCCGAGTGAGCGTTTTCGTAAGAAAAAATAATTAAATTAATTAAATCAATTGATTCCGTAAAAAAAGGTAAATGTATCTATATGGATTTATTTACATATTGTTCCGTAAATTAATTACATATTGTATGGGCTTTGATTCCTTAAAAAAAAGGAATAAATTTGACGCGTGAATAAATTGGCAAAATCTATGCTTATATAAAAAGGCACTCTATTTACTAGAATTAGTAGTAAGAAAAGTCAAAGGTAATTAATGCATTCTATTTCCATCAAGTATTTTATTTAATTATTTTAGTTAATTGTTTTATCTCATAACACCTTTTCAATACAACTTACCATGATTTTTCTATTGTGATTAAAAACCAAATTTGACATTTATAATCTTGTGAAATTATTATTATTATTTTATAAAGCACATATTATTTGTTAAAAAAATTGTATGTATATATAATACACATCACAGTACCACGATAGATGATTTAAATTTCAACCAACCATAATGCCAATGATTTAAATTTGAACACACCTATGTGTTTGACCAAATGTCAGGATGATTTAAAATTGAGCCCATAAAAAATTATTTAAATTTGAACACACCAGAAATTTTATGTACTTTTTATTTATAAATATATTGAAAGTGGTATTTAATGGCTGTTATATAAACTATTTTAATATATTTACAATGAATAAAAGTTTGAATGAATAATTTGTAATGTTATTCATAATGCTTGTGACTTATGAGACATGAACACATAACTCCATACATATTTACCAGAAGGCAGTTAATAAATTTTAGACTTAACGTTGATTAAAACAGGTAGACAATAGATAATAACATTATTACATTATTACCTTTTACACTTAAACGGACAAGACTGTGAAAATAACTTATTTAATATCTTTGTCCCGTGCATTGCACGGGGTACGTACTAGTTAAGTGTAACTATCAGTTCAGAATTTTATTACAAAACTTGAACAATCTTCGAAGAAAAATTAAAAAGATTAATAAAATACGAAAACAAGTAACAATTGCATAAAAATTTAATGACTTATACATCACAAGACACAGGGAGTGTCAATGCGGTGGAAATGACGGGACGTGTAACAGTACTCATCTAACAATTGACTCGTTAAGGAAAATACTAATGTCCTGTTACGGGATGATGTCGCCAGTATTTTTCACCCTTAGAATACACATGGAGATTATGTTGTGTGGATAATCTACGATAACAAACACTGATGGAACTATTCTGTCATCAGAATTGTAGTCATTTCCCTCTTTCTTTTAAAAGTTTATTTTTATAAGAAGGTATAAATACATAAAAGCCTAATTACCAAGAAATGGTCATATACGGAGTTTAGTAGTACTATATATATGCTATATATATACTAGTACAGGTACAGGTCCTCTCTCTTACACTCGCCGGACCCCGTTCGCCGGCACAATTCAGCTCAAGTCAACCCGCCCACCACATCTCGGCCGGGTTGTATTATCTCCACTCACCTCCGCTATTGGGTCAACTCTGAAACAAAAGATGCGCCTCACATGAAAGCACAATTAGCCTTGATTTCCATTTCTGACCTCACCGTAAATCGGAGATTTGTGCATTCTTGTACCGATTCCAAGCTGCATGTTTGCGTCTCTTACTCCACTAGCCATTTTCACGCACTCTATATCACTCCCCACGCACATAGACAGCTGATTGACAGCTACGATGTCGGTGTACGGCGCGGCGTTTGCAGACGCCGAGCTCTCGAAGAAGACCACAATCTTCGGTCTTCATCTATGGGCGGTCGTCGGAATAATCGTCGGAGCGGCTATTGTGCTCATACTCTTTCTGCTGTCCATTTGCCTCACGGCCTCGCGCCGCCGTAGCAGCAGCGGCAAGGGCAAACTCCACCGTCCGGCGAAACTCGAGTTCACCCCCGTCATCTCGAAGGATATCGTACACGACTCCTCCTCCTCCGCCGCCGCCGCCGATCACCGTCCGGTTGTGCCTCAGGTATGTTTCCCAAGATCTGAAGTTTATATCTTCACAGAATTCGTTAATTGACAAGTTTTCCTCCTCACTGTTGGAAATCCAACTGATGGAAGTAGTTTAGTAAACTGATTTTCCATACACTAACAGTATCGTCTTCAAATAAGAAAGTTCTCGGTTGCTGTTCAGTCATTCATTTCAAAATCCTTGTGTAATATGTAATCTTACTTGCAAATTTGGGATGCTAACTGTTTTTGGTTCAATTGATAACTGGTTTGTGATTCTGATTTCCCATTAAAAATTGTCAGGCCGTGCCAGAGATACAAATAGATATGGGCAAGGTGGAGCATCGGGTGGTGTTTTCTGATAGAGCATCGAGCGGTGAGAGCAGCAGGGCCACAAGTGGGGCCGACACAGCTTCCTTTGGAGGTAGCGGTTCGTTGCCAGAGGTATCCCATTTGGGATGGGGAAGATGGTATACTTTGAGAGAGCTTGAGGCGGCCTCTAATGGATTGTCAGACGAGAATGTGATTGGTGAAGGTGGATATGGTATTGTGTACTATGGAGTTTTGGCAAATAACACCCGGGTGGCCATCAAGAATTTGTTAAATAACAAGTAAGGAAGTTTTTTTATTTGCTTGTTTCTCTTAATTAGTTATTGCTTGCGATTCGTCCGACAGAATGATGATTGGGTTTGTTTGCCGGCATGTTGTATTAGTTCTTCGGTTTAATGTGGGTACATGGTTTTTTTAGTTATATTTGGGAAGAGATCTATAAGTGTACAGTAGTTACTTATTTTAATTCAGTAGCAGGTTGTATTCTGCTTAAAATTGGGTATCCTTCATTTGTATTCTTGGGTAATTGGCAGATTTGGAGTCAGAGCATTTAATTTGTGTCCTTAATTTTATTTTTTTTGGCCTAGGGTTCAATTACCATATTTTCTCTTTGCTAGATAGAGAGTGAAATTTATTTCAGTTTAACCTAAATAAATGGTGGATGAGGAAACACATTTCTTTTTTATTTTTTTGAAAAACTAATGTGGAGGATGTTAGAACCAGTTTTATGTCACGCATTTGTAGCCTGACTTTCAGTTATGCTCTTAAGACACTAATGATTTTTTTTTTTTTTTT